GGTCCGGGCTGGGGATTCGAACCCGCCACCTTAGGTGTACGTGGCTGGCGCCTTAGCCGGTTGAGCTATAGGTGCCGAGCCAAAAGATTTCACTTATATCATTCTTATTTAATCCTCACCATGTTGACCTATGTATGATTTTTATAGAAAGCAGACATTATTATCCAAACTGAGACAGCTGGGTTTGACTTCTTTATCTGTAAAATAGGAATAATTTTTCCAGCTTAGCAAGGTTTTTGTGTTAAAATAAGAATGGAAAAACCTAGCACAGTGCTTCAGGAAAGATCATTGTGTTGTCTGTATTTGGATTTCTCATTCAACAAACATTTACTGACTGCTTATTATAGATACATTATTCTACTGGACGCTGCAGAAAATATAAAGAAGGTACCATCAACAGTTGTTAAACTCAATATGGAGAGCTGTGTTTTCTCAAAAAAAAAAATGGTTTTTGTTAACACAGTATTACCTTGGGATTTTGGACTATAGAGTGCTTTCTTGGGCCTCTTTTGGCATTTATTCTCAGTGCCTATCATTTAGAAGTCAATTAGGACATCATTTCCTGGCTTGGCGCCTGTGGCTCAAGCAGCTAAGGCACCAGCCATATATACCTGAGCCGACGGGTTTGAATATAGCCTGGGCCTGCAAAAGAACAATGATGGCTGCAATAAAAAATAGCCAGGCATTGTGGCAGGTGCCTGTAGTCCCAGCTACTTGGGAGGTGGAGGCAGGAGAATCACTTGAGACAAAGAGTTGGAGGTTGCTGTGAGCTGTGATGCCACAGCACTCTATCCCAGGGTGACAGCTTGAGGCACTGTCTCAAAAAAAAGACATCATTTCCTGACTGGCCTGGTGGCTCATGCCTATAATCCTAGGGCTCTGATAGGCCAAAGCGGGTGGTTCCTTTGAGCTCCCTAGGAGTTTAAGACCAGCCTGAGCAAGAGTGAGATCCTGTCTCCGCTAAAAATAGAATTAGCCAGGTGTGGTGGCAGGTGCCTATAGTCCCATTGTTGTAACCCAGCCCTCTTTCCCCTGCCCACTCCTGTTCCCCAGCCCTCACCTGTTCCCCCCACCACCACCCTGACCTGTCCCCCCCACCAGCCCATTTCCCTCCTCCTCCCTTCTCCCCCCAGAGTCGACTCCAGGAACAAGGCAAGTCCCTCCTCCCCACAGGGTGGCCGAGAACATGCTTCCCAGCCATGTTCCCAGGTGCCCTTCTTCCCCCTAGGGTTGCCAAGAACAAGCTTCAGGTACAAGGAAACAAAGTCCCAAGTTTCACAAAACCCCCAAGTTCTCAGTAGATGAACAATGGTGAAAAACTCACTGAGACTTGATTAATTACTGTTGTATAACCATAACCATTGTGATATAAAATGTAACCATTGTCTACTGAAACTGTATTAATTATCGTTCCATTGCTGTATCTATGACTACCTGAGTTGTAACCCCCCTTAACGAGCCACGTTTCGCTTCTGTAATATGCTTACACAAAGCCTATAAAAGGTAACTCACCCTCACACCTAGGCTGCTGCTGACTGTCTCTCGGAGCAGCAGCCCCTGCAGCAGGTAAAATAAATTACCAATTAATTAACCTAAGTGGGAGTCCGAGTCTATTTTTCCTGGTCCCCCTAAGTTATTTCACCATCTACTCGAGAGGCTGAGGCAGGAAGATCACAACCAGGAGTTTGTGGTTGCTGTGAGCTGGGCTGATGCCACTGCACAGCTCTCTAGCCTGGGCAACAGACCGAGACTCATCTCCTCCAGGAAGCCTCGCCTTACATCCCTATCCACTCCACACTCAGCCTAGACTGGATTTGATGCCTGTGTAATGCCAATGCATTATCTTCGTCAGAGTTCTTATACTGTATCACAATTTTCTGTATATTTTCTCCACAGATTGTAACTGTATCTTTTAACCCTGGAGCATAAGAAGAGTTTGTTTAATGAATGACTTACCCATTTAGGACCTATTTTGACCCTCAGGATAATCCTGTGAATTGGTGAGTTAGAAGGAGTTTTCATGGGATTTAGTAAATTGATTTTAGCATTTAGGAATAATCAGAAATGGCTTGGCGCCTATAGCTCAACTGGCTAAGGCACCAGCCACGTACACCTAAGGTGGTGGGTTCGAATCCCCAGCCCGGACCCGCCAAACAACAATGATGGCTGCAACCAAAAAATAGCCGGGTGCTGTGGCGGGCGCCTGTAGTCCCAGCTACTTGGGAGGTGGAGGCAGGAGACTTGCTTGAGCCCAGGAGTTGGAGGTTGCTGTGAGCTGTAATGCCACGGCACTCTACCCAGGGGGACAGCTTGAGGCTCTGTCTCAAAAAAAAAAAAAAAAAAAAAAAAAAAAATCAGAAATATCTAATAGTTCTTGGCTCTGCACCTGTAGCTCAGTGGTTACGGGGCCAGCCACATACACTGGGGCTGGAGGGTTTGAGCTTGGTCCAGGTCTGCTAAATAACTATGACAACTATAATTAAAAAAAAATATAGCTGGCATTGCGGCAGGTGCCTGTAGTCCCAGTTACTTCGGAGGTGAGGCGAGAGAATTGCTTAAGCCCAAGAGTTTGAGGTTGCTGTGAGCTATGAAGCCATGGCACTCTACTGAGGGCAACATAATGAGACTCTGTCTCAAAAAAATAAAAAAAGAGTTTCTTGGAATTATAGAGTTGTGGATTTCACAATGTAATAATCATATACCTAAAGACTTTAGAAGTCAGCTTGGTGTATGTAGCTCAGCAGCTAGGGCACCAGCCACATACACCAAAGCTGGTGGTTTCGAACCCAGCCTGGGCCTGCCAAACAACAATGACAATTACAACAACAAAAAAATAGCTGGATGTTGTGGAAGATGCCAGTAGTCCCCGCTACTTGGGAGGCTGAAGCAAGAGAATCACTTAAGCCCAAGAGTTTGAGGTTGCTGTGAGCAGTGACACTACGACACTCTACTGAAGGTGACATAGTGAGACTGTCTTAAAAAAAAAAACAGACTTTAGAAGTCTATATGTGAATCCAAATGAGATTTTTATACTGCCATTTACTTTAGTGTGCATGCTTACAAATTGATCTTATGTTTGTAGCTGAAACTTACCATCTGCAGTTTTTCCTCTATGCCATTTTTAACAGTGAATAGTTCACTGGGTGTGGCCCTCAGCCCTGATTTCAGTATGCTGCGAAGAAAACCAACACGCCTGGAGTTAAAGCTTGATGACATTGAAGAATTTGAGAGTATTCGAA